TCGGATGCTGCCCCAGAGCCTGGCTTATGGAGCTAGCATGGAACCCACACCACAGCTTCCCTGGTCCACAGAGGCTCTCACCGCCATTGCCACCAGTATAGTGGTATGTACTCACAAAGATTAAGAAAGAAATGTATTCTGATTAGATTGTATTGGTCCTTCTTTTTATTTCTCTATTTATCTCCCCCTATTGAGTCATTCTTTCCTTCTGCCCACAGAAATAGTTGGCACTTAGTTCCAGCTATTGTATAGACATTGCATAGAGACATTTGGCTGAAAATGTTGAAAGGGAAAAATACACTAGACATTTTTCCCCTATGTCATTTGAAACTGTGTGGTAGAAAGTTAAAAAAGAACATCCGCCAGATTCATCAAACAGGGTTTGATTACCTCCCGCCATGGTGAAAAGCTGACAACATCTGGTGTCTGCCCTGGAGCAGCTAACAATTTAGTCAGGGAAAAAAGCAAACTCGTGTAATGGGGCCCAAAGCTTGGAATTGGTACTAAATAGGTCTAAACAAAAGCCTGATGATGTCCTGAAGAGGGAGAAAGAGTGAGTAATGGCCACTGTAGGATTGGAGAAGGCGTCAGTGAGGCTTATTTGAATGGACGCTGCAGAATGAGTAAGAACAATAGCAGGTAGAGGGGATGCAGAGCCTCCCAGGCCAAGAGTACAGAGAAGAGTCTGGAACACCACAGGGGGATAGTGGGGCAAGGACAGAAGTGTGGGACATGGAAGAGGTGTAATGTCATGAGAATGTTCCCAGAGCAAGTGATCTTTCATGAAGGGGGAGACATGAAGAGGTTACCAGGCAAAGCATGTGGCTGAGGGCAAGAGCAATGGGGAGAAGCTGTAGAGAGTAGCAGCGTGTGTGAAGGCTGGGAAATGCAAAGGGACGTGGTTTCTTCAGAGAGCTGAGGGCTGAGAGGAGGTAAGCAGGAGCAAGGTTGCACCGCTCCTTGAAGATTTTAGATTGGGAAAGCAGAGGAGTGACAGATTGTGTTTGAGAAGCTTTCTCAGGACCAAGCACAGGGGCTCACACCTGTAATCCCAGTACCTAGGGAGATCGAGTTGGGAGGATTGCTTGAGACCAGCCTGGGCAACATAGTGAGACTCCACCTCTACAAAAAAAATTTAAAAGTTAGCCAGGCACAGTGGTGCATACCTGTGGGCCCAACTACTAGGGAGGTTGAGGCATGAGGATCGCTTGAGCCCAAGATTTCAAGGCTGCAGTGCACCATTGCACTCCAGCCTGGGCAACAGAGCAGAAGTCTGTCTCTGAAAAAAAAGAAAGAAGTAGAAGGAGAGAAGAGAATGGGTTGATCATAGTGTGAAGTAGGGGAGGACCAAAGGGGAGCTAGACAGCCCAAAGAAGAGGCAGAGGCAGGCCAGACTAGATATGCTGCTTCTGAATAGGTTAGCTTTGGGCTCAGCATCCAGTTTACATGTGGGTGCCCTGTACTTTTAATCCTGATTGGGCATTTAAAAAATCAATAGGGAAAGATGATGTAAGTGGTTCTAGGTATGTTTCTGCTTCAGTGGCCTCCCAGGGTGCTAATGTCACCAGAGAGTGTGTAGAAGGTGAAGGATTTTCAACCTAATGCCACATGGTACTTCTCTTCACCTTCAGGGCCACGTCAGAGAGAGAGAGACAGGTAGAAGGATTAGATAACTTACTTGTATCCCTGATTCCGTGCTGTGCAGGGAAGGAGAACCACCGCCATACTAATGAGACGTGACAGTCACAAGTTTCTAAGTTATAAATCCACAGACTTCTGGATTTTAAGTGACTTCCCAAAAGCAGCTTGTACAGAGGAGCCAGAAGTTTCTCTGAGCTGCAAGCCTCTGAGGGATCTTGAGCAAGCCTGTGCTCTGTGGAAATGTCAGTAAGAGCAGCCTCTCTGCACCCCCACTGCCACTTTCCTGGGCCTGTCTTTGTCTTACTGAGAGACCTCCAAAGTGTCTTGCCCAGGTAGGGGAGCATCAGCCAGTGGCATTGCATCCCTGCATTGTTATATTTCAGGGTCCCAGCCCAGTGCACAGGCCAACCTAATGGACACACCAGGGGGCAGGGAGGAATAATGCACTGCTTTCCTCTACCCCAGCCCTTCCTGCCTCCTCCATGAACATCTGATGGTGCCAGCCCCAGAATCTGCTCAAGACACCTCCTAAGGGGAACAAAGAACCTGGCCCAGCCCGTGCCACCCTCCACCCCATTTTCCATTGTCATTGAAAGTGGCTGATGCTGTCCCCGGCCAGGCACCTGCTAGGGTTGCTGGCCATGCCTGGGGAAGTCATTTGTGTTTCTGATTTTTCCCTGTATGGCACTTGGTCTACAGGGCAGGGGTAGGGGTTACCATGTCAAAGACCTAAAGAGTTGTTGCCCTGAGGGGCTAACTGGACTCATCATGGAAAGCGGAGGACCCTTGAAACAAGCAGAAAACCCGTGGAGCAGAATCCCCCACCCTAGGCCTGGTACTACCGCCAGAAAGCAAACAGGTCTGGGATGGAGACTGGTCCTCAGGGAGGTTCTGTGTCCAGAGAGGGGCAGAGCCACTCTCAGGTTGTCTCAAAAAAAAAAAAAAAAAAAAAAAGTAGCTCATCTGACTCTGTAATTTTATAGCCAAGGAAACACCCTTGGAGGGCTTTTCCTCCTAGAGTGGAGGGGCTTCTGCAGAGTAGAGGCCAGGCCATGCCACTTGCCTCCCAGGCCAGGCTCTTTCCAGCAAGCCCCAACATTGACTTCCAAAACTGGGACAGGCTGACCGGTGATAGGGCTTGGCACCCAACGCTAGCCTGTGGGCTAGTCCCAGCCATGCAGAGCAGGTTTTAAAGGCTCTGTCCCTCTGATCCTAACCTCTTCTTTGTCCAGCCTGATTTTGCTAGTAAGGGTATCCAAAGCTTTCGACCACAAGGAGGCTGTTAGGGGAGGAGCAGTGGCATCGCTGGGCAATGGCTGCCCTGTGCCAGATTCTGCCAGACCCATTTGGTCTTAGGGTCCTCCTGGCCCTGAGTGGGCCTTAAATTCCCTCAGGCTTCATAACGGCATTTCGAGAAGAGGGGGCTTTACTCCTATGAGGTGGAGTTTGGAGGCTTAGCCATTCTCTCTGTGTTCTTCCAAGCCATACTGCTAGTCACAGGTATGGAGAAGCTACTGGGCCCCCTGCCATTGGATGGTACTATCACCTGCAGCGGAATAGTGGGAGCCTGGCCCAATTTGGAACACAGTTAAATATGCTTCCCTGTGAGGCTGTTTTGGTGGAAGCCAGAGGGTTTGGGTTTCACTCTTATTATGCTCATTTTAAGCTTGCAATTCAAATGAATTTTCCAGGGCTAGAGGAATTGTTCCTCTGCATTTTTGTTTTTTCATTAAACGCCTTGCATTCTACCTCTTAACATTTACTGGTAGGAGGACCTGCCTAAAGGTCTCTGAAGCTCTTCCCTGGGCCACTCAAGGAGACACGGTCATTTGGGTCAGGAGGAGCCACGCTGCGAGGCAAGGCTCTGCTATATCCAGATGCCCACCTGCTGCCTGCTGATTCCCCCCTGACATCCCTGTCTCAAGCCATACTATTCTGCTACACCCCTGTCCCCAAGGAAAGCTGGGCTTAAGGGATGTGGGGCCACCTGGGCAGGAGCATCCCCCAATAGCCTGTAGGATGAGAGGATAGACAATGGTGCTGCTTTGTCTTGTGATCTGGGTGGGGAAAGCAGGCATTTGGGAACTGGCCCTTTTATACCTTTTCTAGCCCCTTTGGGAGCCACCCTTTCCTGGGTAAGCCCTAAAGTCCCATCCAGCCCCATTTTCACAGCAAGGAAGGAGGGAGAGGTGGCCTGAAAGCCTTGACTTGAGAATAGCTCTGTCAAACACCCAGAGCTTCCGTGAGATGATCTGGAAACGCCCAGGCATCCTCAGGACCAGAGAGGCTCCCCTTCCCCCCACCAGGGATGTGGAATAGATGGGAGGACATCAAAGAGGAGGCCCCTTCACTGAGGGATTCCCTGCCCCCCACCACAGGCTAGCGTTGGGTGCCAAGCCCTATCACCAGTCAGCCTGTCCCAGTTTTGGAAGTCAATGTTAGGGCTTGCTGGAAAGAGCCTGGCCTGGGAGGCAAGAGGCATGGTCTGGCCTCTAGTCTGCAGAAGCCCCTCCACTCTTGGAGGAAAAGCCCTCCAAGGGTATTTCCTTGGCTATAAAATTACAGAGTCAGGTGAGCTACTCTTTTTTTTCTCTTTTTTTTTTTTTTTGAGACAAAGTGTCTGTTGCCCACACTGGAGTGCAGTGGCGCGATCTCAGCTCACTGCAACCTCCAACTCCCGGATTCAAGTGATTCTCCTGCCTCAGCCTCCTGAGTAGCTGGGACTATGGGCAAGCACCACCATGCCCAGCTAATTTTTGTATTTTTAATCGAGATGGGGTTTCACTATGTTGGCCAGGCTGGTCTTGGACTCCTGACCTCGTGATCCACCCGCCTCAGCCTCCCAAAGTGCTGGGATTACAGGCGTGAGCCACGGCGCCCAACCTGGATGAGCTACTCTAGTCTAAGGTTCTGCCTGGCGCTGCATTTTCTGATATTCTGAGCCAAAGCCCAAAATGACTTGCCTCGGTAGCCCCTGTTCGCAGATGGAGAGCTGAGGCCTGGCTCTGAGGCCTGTGCCAATGCTTGGCCCAGGCCAAGTCAGCTGTTTCATCCCTCCTACTGCTGGGAAAGTGGAGAGGGGGCCAACTCTCCAAACCCGAGGCACTGATCACAGGAAGGCAAGCTTCGATGTCAGGACTCCCATCAGGCCCAGCTAAAAGGCTTTGGACTTCCTCAGGAGTCTCCTCAGACAGAATGGCTCTGTGCTAACAGAAGGGGACTCATGAGTGCCTTTTTCTGGGCAAGGCTGCCAGGGGAAGGGGAGAGATTAGCAGTGTATGGCATGCAGTGGGGTGATGACACTGAGGGGGTCACTGGGGTATGAATGTCATTCCCCCATCATCGTCAACCAGGCCATATTGGTACAAAAGGTGTCTTTATTGAGGTCTGGGTTAAAATTAGGCACTTGGCCAGAGCAGCAGCTTAAATATGAGGCAAGCAGGCAGGGGTTAGCCATGCCTGGGGCTGGGCTGGGGTCATGAGGCTACAGGCACAGACTGTCCCCAGGTGGACAGAAGTCGGAGGGGGAAGAGGAGGAGGAAGGGGCCGCAGAGCAGCCTGGGTCAGAGGCCTGGTGGGCCGGCCCCATGGGACTAGGCAGGAAGCTCTGGGTGGCAGGTCCAGCAGGGAGGGGACCAGGATCTCTTGCTCCACATGCCCCTTAGATCCAGGCCTGAGCCTCTGGCAGGGGCAGCCGCACTTGGCGGGGCAGTCTTCCCAAGCCTCACTTCTTCACCTTGGTGTCATAGGTGCCTGCATTCTTGTAGGCGCTCACGTAGCCACTGTCGTCCAGGATGTCCTGCCGTCCCGCAATGCCCTTGCCCTTGCCGCTCTCATCGAAGCGCTCCTTGTGGGAGCCCGTGTACCTGCTGGTGTCCGTCAGCCGGTCTACAGCACCCCCTGTTTTTGCTTTCTGTTTGGACAGAGTTTTCCCCAGGGGCACCTGGTGAGGGAGCCCAGCCCTTCCCACCCACAGCCATGATTCCCCACACCCCATTCCATGGCCACCCGAGACCAGCAGGGCACTTACGGTGACGCCTACATTGGCTGGCTCTTTGCCTGCCACCAGCTGGCAGATAGCATCGAAGGCCTCCTCCTTGCTCTTCCCCTTGAATCGCTTGGTCGCCAGCTCTTCCAGGGCCTTCTTGAACTCCTCATAGTTGATGACCCGAGCAGACTTCCCCCTGCCAGGCATGTAGGCACCATGAGTGTTCCCCTTTATTTTTTCTCCCCCAGGGGAAAGCACAAACGCAGTCGCTGCCGCCACAAATTATGCAATTGCGTTTCTTTCCCACATTTGGGGAAATCGCGGGGGTCAGCACCTCTGGAGGGCAATAGATAAGGTTTGCCCTGGAAGAACAACCTTCGTGATCATGGTGTTTCCCTGACCCCTTCTCAATGTCTTCCCTGGTTCCAGCCCCCCAGTTCCCCACCTCCTGGGAACATGAGAAGCAGGGGCTGCCTGGGGCTCACTTGACTTTGGAGAAGACGATGTCCACATCGGTCCCTGTCACGGCCTTTCCGTCAGCCACCTTGCAGTCCTTGCACAACTTGGCCCAGTTCTTGCCATTCATCTCTTGCCCACTGGCCTTGGGGTCACCATGGATAGCAAACTTACGAAAGCTCTCCTCCAGTCCAGCGATGTCTGTGCTTGCTGCCATGCCACCCTGTAAAGACCCACCTGGGTCATCTCCCAGCCAATCTGCCCTTCCCCTCCCCCAAGCCCAGAACATCCCAGCCTCTACCTCAAACCTGCAAGACCTGGGCAGGTTCTGCTACAGACAGAGTTGGAGCTGGAGCTGCCTGGGGAGAGGGGCCAGTCACTGTCACCCTGGGCCACAGAGCCCCGAGGAAGAGCCCCGGGAGGCACGGTCTTGTTACTAATGCCAGCCCTGGCTCTGAGCAGGGTTCAGCAGATGAAATCATGATGCCCACAGCAGGCTGGGAACAGAGTGGCACTGTCCAGAAAGACTGTGAGGGCAGCAGCTGGGGCCCTGGCTTTGTCTGGCCCTGGCACAAGGCCTCCTTCGGTGGAAGTGAGGGTGGCAGAGCAGGCCCCCTCCCTGGAAGCTCCACGCCAAGTTGGGTTGGGGCCAGGCCAGGCTGCTGGTCGGGCAGGCATTTAGTGAGGCCGGCATCTTTGTAAGGGTCATGAGGATCCAGCAAGAGCCAGTCTGGGCACGGGTGCATGCCCTGGGCAGGGGTGCAGCTGGCCCAGCAAGGCCTTGTTACTATTTGCTGTTAAACAAAAACATGAGGGGAGCGGGAGCTTGGGGCTGGCCTGGCCACAGTTTGGGAAGCCTGGAGACGGTTGCTAAGGGAGGGTGGTGCTGCTTGGAGAATGTTGCTAAGGGCAGGATGGTGTCAGGGCGGCTCAGGGAGAAGCTCCCAGTGCTGAGGGGCTGGGCTGGGCTGGACTGGGGAGCTTGGGCCCACGGGTGGGGCACGCCAGCACTCCCTGCGCCTGGGGCATAACCATAGCTTCCTGGCCCCTCGCCACTGACTGGGGCTGTAACCTCCCACTGTGGAGTTTTGGGGGAGCAGGAGGTTGGGGACTAGTTGGGGTGGGGGCTGTAGAGTTACAAACCCCAAGAGTCGTGCTGGCACTTGGGGCTGTGGCTGAAACACACCTCCTCATGTCTACACTTCAGACCACCCCTGGCAACACCCTGAACTCAGCCACACCAGCCCATTCCCGGCGACCCTGTGCATTCAGCCCTGGCCTGCCACCCCTTGGGCCTTGTACCCCTGGCCATACCTTCAGCCCTGCACTGCAGCCTCCTCCATCCTCACACCCACCGTCACAGCCCTCGGCCACCAGCCCCCACATATATACTAACAAGCCTGCGCCGACCCCAGTAATACCCACACCCCTGCACTAAAGTACCCCCCACACCCACAGCCCTCTGCTGCAGACCCCTGGCCACACCCTGAGCCTGCACAGCAGCCTCCTCCATACCCACACCCGCAGCCCTGGGGCTGAGGGCCCTGGCCACAAACCTGCATCCCTTCCTGAGACCCCTAACCACAGCCTCAGCCCCTCACCCCCTCCAATACCCACAGCCCTTTATCAAGGCCCCCTGACCGTCAGCACCCCTTTGTCCACACACCCGAAGCCCTCTGGCCACACCCTCAACCTGCACTGGAGGCCCCAGTCCACATCCACACACTAACATTATGAGACTCCCAGGTACTATGCGGAGATCCCCTGTGTAGAGACCCCACCAGCACTGCCCCTCCTCCACTGCCACCTCCTGACCACACCCTCGGTCTCAGCAACCATCTTCTAGCTCTGCCTTTTACACTAGGGCCTCCAGTGACCACAGCCTGGGCTCCGTCCGGCTGCCCCATCTTCCACTGAAAATTCCTCCCCAGTGACCACACTCCTATCCCTAAGTGGCAGTTTCTGGGACTGTGAGCACCGGTGGCTCCTATGTTACAGGGACCACAACCCCAGTCCACACTGCACACCCCTTCCCTTTCCCTGGGTACAACCTCCCACCAGGGACCCGAAGACCCACACTTGGTTCACCAAGGGTAATGTCCAGGGGAGCTTGGATGCCACAGGGTGCTTGGCCCAAGCACTGGGCAGATCCTGCGTGCAGTGCTCACTCCTGTCCATGGAAAGATGAATTATTGGTCATCTCAGCCCGGTCAAGTGGTGCTGGGTTGCAGGCCACAGCCCCATGCGTTTGCAGGCGGTGGATGGAGTGGCCACACCCATGAACTGGGGCACCCATCCCACTCCCACTGGGACAGCTGGAGTCATCAATCAGCCGGACCAGGAGGTGGGGGCTGTGAGGTGGAATGCTTGGGGCCAAGGCAGGGCCGCTCAGCTGGCTCCTCGGCTGGGACCGCCGGAGATTGGGACCCTTTCCAGGCTGCTCCCCCCAACCCTCATCCTGCAGGATACTGATTGGGGTGGCGGGCATCTGGGTCTCCTATGGGCTTCTACCTCGCGACTGCTCCTGAAGTGCGCGTTCGGATGGACAGAAGGACGCAGTAATGGACCGATGGACGCGGGAGACCAGGCGGCTCCGCAGCTCCGCTCCCTGCCGGCTCCCGGGTGGGACTGCAGCCCAGGCGGCTCGGCCGTATTATCCCCTGTTTCTCGGTCTCCATAGAGACGGCGAGTCCCACCCCCGAGGCTGTCTCGGCGGGAGAGTGACCAAGGTCACGCCGGCCCCGCCCACGAGGCCCCGCCCTCCCCGCGCCGCTCCGGGAGCCGCATCCCGCCCCTCCCCCGCAACTCCTCGGTCCTCGCGGCGGCCAGACTAGCGCTCTGCAGTTCGGGGCGTCTTCGGACGGCCCCCTCAGGAAACAGCCTCCCATCCTGGGATCTACCTAAATCTCTAAGCGGCCCCAATCTCCAGGGGAGATCCAGCTCCCCAGAGTCAACCAGAGGCCATCCGGGGGCTGCAGCGCGGCATTGGTGGGGTTTGGGGAATCGGGAAGGAGCTCTCCCTCAGTGACAGGGGTCTACGGTTGGCTCAAGAGCACTGCCATCACTGAACGGGTGGCACCCCCAGGCCACAACTCCCGTGCTCTCCTGGGTAGGATTCAGAGTCTGGAGCAGTTGGGAAGAAGGGAGGGGACTCCCCACGAGCGAATCGCACTCGCCCAGCCCCAGCATGCTGGCATTCGACGGCAGCCCTGCTGCAGGGAAAAGCTGCAGGGACCTCCAGGCTCAGCCCCCTCCTTTCGCCGCCACCTCCCCGGGACCTCGCAGCCTCAGCGCCCATTACTTCTTTCGGAGTCCAAAGCCTGCTTTCTCTCGGTCTCCCAGTGCAAAGCCCATCTTTAAAAAAAATAACCTCCTCCAGGCCGCCATCTAAGGCCTTTCCTAACCACGAGACGCACCTGAGCACCTCCACAGGGCAGCCTGGGTGGCCATCTACTGTACAGGGACCCCCTCCCCACCGCCGGTCGACTGGCCAGGGTCGGGCTTTTGGATGGTCCGTGGCCCCTGTCATTAAGAAAGTAAGCACGACGTCCGCAAAAGCATAAAAAAGTTTATTGGAGCATCACAGCCGGTGGGGCGGGTATTGCTGAGTCGTGGGGGAGGGAGGCCGATCCCGCCGGCCGTAGAGGCTCCTAAAGTGCACTCGGTGCGGCAAGGATGGGGTGTTGCATAGAGAGTCGGGCCGGCCGCTCCAACTCGGCCCTCCGGTCTCTCGGCCCAGCTAAGCCAGACCAGCCTCCCGGCCGCCCGGCGCCCCGGGCTCGCCGCTACTCGGACTCACGAAAACGGCGGGCGCACGCGCCTGCAGCGCCAGCATGGGCTCTCGGCCCTGGCCCCGTGGGGCGGCCAGAGCGGCGCTGCCCAGGCGCGTCTGCGCCACTGGTATCTCGTCCACGGACTCTGCCGACGCCGAGTGGTAGGCGCCAGCAGCGCCAGCAGCGTGCACAGGGCTGGCGTCCGCGGAATCCGTCGACGAGCTGGAGCGGCGGCCAGGGGCCCCGGGCCCTGCGCAGGGGAAGGGAACATGAGCCCAGTGGCTGCGGCTCACTTGTGACTCTGCCTTCCCCTCCCTCGAGTTCCCAGAGCAGGACCCGGACAGGGAGAGGCTCACCCGACGCCCGATCCGAGGTCTCAGACGTCCGCACTTTATACACGCGCCTCTTCCTCTTTTTCTGCAGAGACACGGGGGAGACTGAGGGCCCCACATCGCCAAAAGAAGCAGAGGTGAGCGCCAGGGTAGAGGCTTATTTTTATCCCACTCCACCTGGACCGGAGGCCCAGCACAATCCCTCCTACCTGGGGTCGGATCCGGGGAGGCAGGGCAACAGTGTCTGGGGAAGAGGGTGGTGGAGGTTCCGCTTGGCCACGGGTGGCAAGAAACTGGGAGGGACTGAGGGGGAGGCAGGAGGGTAAGCCTGGGCTCTGTTCCCCAAATCCCTCCCAACTGGAGGTGCTGAGAGAAGCTTCCCTTACTGTTAGCTCAGAGAAGGGCCAGACCCATGCCCCAACCTTAGCCTACCGCCTTCTCCTGCCTCGATGGCCCTGCCATGCTAACTGGAGATGCCCAGGTCACACTCACTTGGCATTCACTGCTGCTGGCCTGGCCTGGCCAGGGGGCTCTGGGCGCACATGGCTGAAGGTCCGCATGTAGAACTCCATCTCCTGGGGAAGGTGGGAGTCAAGGAGACTGGGAGGCCAGGTGTGGCTCCCGAGCCTCCTGAGCCCTGATCTCATGCAGTCCTGCCCTCACTGGCCTCTGTGGGTCATTTCAGGCCTCATGCCAGGCTCCCAGCCATGCTGGGAAAACCCGTCTGTAGGGTAAGGCTTAAAACACCCATTTCTGGCCCTTGCCTCATCCCCAGGTCCTTACCTCATTTATTCAGCCTCTGCCTCCTGCTGGAAGGTTCCCAGCCCCCATGGATCTATAGGCCTAGAGAGGCTCAGCCAGGGAGTGGTGGGAAGCTCAGAGCGGCTCGCACCTGCTCCTGGCGTCTCCAGGGCTCCAGCCTCTGAACCAATTATTTTCCCCTGGCTGAGAAACAGGCCTAAGTGTGCATCCACCAGCTCCCGCAGAGCTGAGTCCTGGGCGCACCCCTCGCCCTCACAAAGGACCAGCCACGATCCCGGCTGCCAAGAAGGGGCTGCGTAAATGCATGTGCGGTGGTCTCCCTGCCACTAGGCCGAAAGGGAAGGTAGTAGGTGGTGGAATAAACAGAGCCGCAGCCCCATTGGGCACCAGGCTTACAGGCAAGCCCTGATCTTCACAGCAACCCTCAGGGTGCAGACACGACCCCTGAAAGCAAAGGGGCCTTGAGGCCAGGGGGTTGCAGGAGTGGCCTAGTCCTGCACCCCCGCCCGCAGGACTCGCCCCAGCTTTGCCGGGGAGGACTCCAGGTGAGGAAACAAAAGCCGGGGGAAAGCAGGCCCAGTAAGGGCGTGGTGCGGGATGGGGGCGGGTCCAGGGCGGGGTCGGAGGGGGGAAGGTTTGCCGGGAGCACCCGGACAGCTGTCGCAGGGTTCAGCAGCCGTTTCCATGGAGACGGAGGCATCCTGACTAATGCAGAGAGGACACTGTAACAGCAAGGCCGTCTCTAAAACAAGCCTATGTTTGGGGGCAACGGCTCCAGAGAGGGGCCCCTCCTGCATTCCTGCTGGGGTGGGGGTGGGTGGCTGCCTGCAAGGCCCTGACAGATCTGGGGGAGGAGCCCAGCCAGCAGCCCCGCCCAACCTCTGCCCTGGCTGCTGCTCTGGAGAGGGGTGTGGGAGCGCCAGCCTGGGCTGAGGGGCACGGGGGTCAGGGGTTAGAGGCCAGTCACAGGGACTGGGGACCTCAAGATCACTCTCCCCAACACCTCTTCTCTGCCCCAGTGTGGACTCAGTGACCCTCTAGGGCCAGCAGAGGGGCAAACCCATTGGGGGGCCCTGGGCTCCAGATGGGGGAGCAGACGAGGGGGCAGCAGTAGAGGAGGTCTCAGAAGCTGAGGGGCCAGGATGGGACAGGCGCCAGGCCCTAGCCAGCTCCGGAAGTCTGGAAGCGTCCCTAGTGAGTCCCCACTCAGAGCCCTGTCCTCTCTCGCCATGGCTGTCCAGAGGATCCTTCCTCAGAGACCTTCAAAACCCTGTACATTCCTGAATGGTACTGGGCCCTCGGCCTCAGCTCTCTGCTTTGTAAAAAGGGACAAGAACATCACTCCTGTCCCCCGGGTTTGCCTCCCTCGAGTCACTGCAGATGGACAGAACACAAATTAAATGTCTTTGCTATGGCTACATTTGGCCCCAAAGCCTTGGCAGGGCAGGGCCGAAAAGCCTGCCCTGACTCAGTGGGTGCTACCTGTGAGGCTTGAGAAAGTCCCCTGCCTAATTATCTGGGCCTCCGTCTCCTCTTGATGTGGGGCTGGAGACAGTACCCTCTCCCCAGCACAGCTGCCACCATCAGAGCCCAGCACCGGGGCAGGTATACGGTGGTGTAACAGCGGAGTCGCCACCCACAGTCAGCACACCCCAGGCCCAGGCCTGCCCAGTCCTGGCAGCCTGGCCCACAAGCAGTGTCCAGCCCTGGCGACAAGAACAGGCGAGGCGGGGTCCTAGGCCCTCCCCAACCCACCCACCAGCCTCTGTTTGTGTCCAGTTGCCATGAGGCCTTGGGATCCAGGGCTCAGCCTTCCCCCAGCAAAGCCTGCCTGGGCCCTGCCTTTCTAGTCCCTAGGGGCTCCTCTGAGGACTGGATCACCCCCACCCCAGCTGCTGACCTCAGGAAGCCATGGGGCGTGGGAATGGGGATAGGCTGGTCAGCCACTGGCCTGGCCAGGCTGGCCAGAGCATGGAGACCTTAACTCTTCCCAGACCCAGCTTGTGGTTAACCTTCTAGGCCTCAGTATGCACATCTACAACAGAGGCTGTTCTAAGCATAAATTAGGGTAATGGGTATAAATGCTCAAGGTCATGGATGGGGAGAAGTGATGGCTCCATCCTGGCCACCCATCACTGACCCCGTCGCTGGTCCATCCCTCTCTCTCTCCTGCTGCAGCCCCAACCTGCTTACTTCCAGGCTCCCACATCCCATGCCGTCCGCGCATGCTTGGCGCCTGGGCAGGCACGTACGTGGGGTCCGGGAAACACAGGGCTCCCTCTGGCTGTGCCCACGCTTGGGCGAGCAGGCACACGCTCAACACAAGCCTGGTCCCTGCTGCCCCCAGCACCCCGCCCGCAGCACCCCCACCCCCAGCAGCTGTTCCAGGCTTGCTTCCCTTGCCCTGTCTCCTCACTGGCTGCTTGGTGCACAGCCCAACACCCCCCACACCCAGGCCCCCTCCCACCCCTCATTCTCTATACCTGAATGGGCCGCATCTTGGGAGGACATGACTCGAGCTCCCTGTGAACCCCCTTGGCCTCCTGTGGTGGGCGGTGCTGCACGATGTACTCATAGGTGGTGAGCTTGTGCCACACTGGTGAGGGGAAGAGAAGGCTCAGTGTGGTGGAAAGGGGACCCTGGAGCTCAGAACAGGAGGGAGGACAACCAGCCCCAGGCTGAAACCAGTGTCCCCAAATACACGAAGCCATCGGGGGAGACCTGGCCACCATAGCGAGCCCATACTGGGCAGGGGCATGGTTTCAGGCTCCACTGTCCAACTGGGCACCTTCCTGCAATCTGAGGACCCCTGCGCTCTGGAAGGCAGGTGCGGGAGGCACTTACTGAGATAAATGTGGAAGCAGAGCAGGTGCCCCAAGAGGGCTGTGGACAGCAGGCCCAGAAGGATAAGCAGGGCAGCCAGGGCCAGGATGGCAGGGGCCTGGGTCTCCACGGGGGCAGCGGGCAGGAACACGAACCACACATCCGTGTGATTCTTCAGGACTGCAAGGCACAGACAGCGTGTGCTCAGCCGGGGACGTGACAGGTGACCAGGGTTGGGGGTGAGAATAGGCCCGGAGCCTAAACTGACCTTCAAAGTGTCGGTTGGTGCGCAGCCGCATGGGGTTGACAAAGAACTCCACAAAGACATATGTGGCCACCAGCACCAGGAGCAGGACACCCAGTAAAGCGGATGCAACACTATGTAGAAAGAGCCTGGGCCCAGCCATGGGTAGCTGTCAGCTCCCGGGAGCTCCAGCGCCTCGGAGGGCTCATAGGAGTTGGGGCTGTAGGGTCATTGCTACCGGCTCAGAGGGCTGAGGGTGACCCCACAGCCCCAACTCCCCAGAAGCCAAAGGCATACAGCAAAACCGAAGACGGGTGGCCATCCCATCAGGCAGCCCACCTTTCTCTGGGCCAGCTCGGTGGAAGATTCCAGGCCCACACTTGGCCATCTCAGCCGGCACCCAGGAGCATCTCTCTCTGGGCAGCACCCCCGCATAAAATGGGCACAGGTCCTCTAAGTATCCCCATCCCTGCCAGCCTGCCATGCGGGCTGCAAGGTCTGTGGCTCCCACCCTCAGACAGTGCATCCCCAGGCCCCCGTGCGGCCGGGCTGTCCTCACCGGTAGTTCCGCTCGCCCACACAGTTGTTGAGCCACTTGCAGTGATGGTCGAAACCGCACACGCACTTGTTGCAGGCGCTGCAGTGCTTGGAGCGAGCGCTCCTGCAGGGAGAGGGGGCACAGCGCGGGTCGGCCGGCTTATTCCCCGCTTTGCGGCCCGGCCGGTCGGGGCGGTTGAGTGCGGTCCGTGGAAGGACTAAGCGCCAGGCCTGAGACAGCCCCGAGCGAGGCGACGAGGAGCCCGCGCGCCCTCTGCAGGCGCTGCGGGGTGGGGTCCCTGGAGGAGGCAGCGCTCCCAAGAGCTGGGGGACCCCAGGAGCCGCAGGAGGGGTAAGGAGGTGCACCCCTCCTGCTCCGGGACTGTGCGCCTAGCTGATGCGCCATGAAACGGAAAATGGGCGTCCTTTCCAGGCAAAGAACCCTGAGAGAAGGCAGAAGATGCAGGTGTGGGCCCAGGGAGCTGCAGACAGCAAGGTGTGGAGCCCAGGGCCTGCACTGCCCTTCCGGACACCTCCGGCAGTGGGTCCCTGTTTCCTTGCCATTCTATGGGAGTGGTACTGGCATTTTTCCAGAAACTTCAGTCTGTGTGGACTAAGAGAAAAGAGGCAAAAGAAGTGCAGGCCGCCATCCGCGTGAGCATGCTCACCACAGGGGCTCAGGGTAGTCTCCCAGCCCAGGGAGGCACGGGGAAGGCCCAAAGGCACAACCCCTCCACCAGAACAGGGCAGAGCCCTGCAATGGGCAGCAGCTTCTGGAGCAGTCGCTTGGAAAGTGTGCTGGCGGGTGCCCAGTGAATGGCAGGAAGTCCTTGGTGCCTAAAGGCTAGGGGCTTGCTCAGTCTGCAGACAGACCCCTTCAACAGGCTTCCTGCGGGGGCTGGCCTTGGGCCATGTCCCCATCCCTGATCCCCCACCAGAGACCTGGAGACTGCGGGGCTCCAGAAGGGTGAAGAGGGGCCCCTAGAGAGGCAGCTGGGACCAGCCAAGGGGGCAGGGGTGCAGCACGTACTGACTCCTCCATGTTAGCAGAGGGACCTTAGCAAGCCACCTGCCCCCCCCGGGCCTCAGACTCCTCCTGGGTAGGCCAGGACACCAGTATCTGCTTGGGGGCCTGGCCGCCCAGGTGTAAATCTGGCTCTGCTATCAGTGGCTATGTCTGGCCTATCAGCCTTTTTAAGTGCTGGGCTCTTCCTCCTCCATGAAGTGAGAAAACCAGGCAGGGTGGCTGCAGGAAGAGCTCAGCACACAGTCTCAGGCATCAACGCCCCTGCCCACCCCTAAATGGGAATACTGGCAAGAGATGTGGGGCTATCACTGGCAGAGCCGCTCATTAGAAATGTTTGGGCAGAGCCAAATGTTTCCTCCTTTAACTGCTGGAATACTACTCCTCATCTTCTGTTTCCAATCACCTTCTCTTCACCTTCTCAGGAACCCAATTCTCTGTCACGCCATCAAGGTTCTTGACTGCATAAAACATGAGGGTTCTGAGGCATCAGGGATGGCTGTGAAGCCCCGGCACCCCCTCTCCACTGTGCACCCCATAGCACACTCGGCAGCCACACGCACCCACACACACTCACACATCCACGTCGCACAAGTTGCAGTGCAGGTCTTCAATGACATGTGCGTGCTGGCTTCGGTTGAAGATGGGCAGGGGCCCCGCATAGCTCTTGTCCCGCACGTTGGCATCTGCTGGATCGATGGAGACGGCGGTCAGGTGCACCACAAGGTGGCCGGCAAAGATGGTGCCCATGCACTGGCCCAGCAGGTTAAAGACTCACTCCGCACTCTGCCAGCTGGGAGTCCTACCCCACTCCTTGCAGCCAGAGAACTCCCCACTGCCATGCCAGCCTGCTTTGTGCAGATTCTCTGCCTGTGCCACCTCCTACCTCCAGTCCCTCAGAGCCTCCTCATCAGACCTCTCCAGGTGACCCCTGTGCCCCAAATGGAAAGGGGGAGGGGCCATCTAGGAAAGGAGTCCACAGCCAGCCAGCAGTGCCTGCTGTCGCCACCTAGGTGCCCAATCCCAGGGTCCTGGCCTCACTGCTCCAGGCCTGGTGCAGGCCCTAGCTGGTCTGACCTCAGGCTGGTTTCTGGTTTCAGATTCCAAATGATGATGTGAGACTGAAAGAGATCAACCCCACCTAAGGCCCAAGAACCTTAAGTTTAAAGCTTGCTTATCTTGCTTTCATAGGAAGTCACCTCCAAGAGGTATGCAGCCATCCCCCTTTTCAGTAGCTGGGCCAAATGGAGAACCCCTTGCAGACAGGGGCTCGGACACTTGCTACCTCCCCTACCAAGAATCTAGGCACTTGGAGTCCTGGGCTGAGTGTCTGGGATGGCCTGCTACGTTCAGGGCCTGGCCAGGGGCAGCATGGCTAGTCTCTGAAGCTAAAACACAGCTCTTCCAGGACCTATCTGCTCAATGACTGGGCCAAATGCAGGAGACAAATTTGCTGACAATTTGCTACAAAGTCTGATGTGTAAAAATTCACCCACAGATTCCACCCAGGCAGCCATCCACTCTCCCTCCCTTGATCCCACCTGCTTCCGCCCAAAATTGCACTCGTCCTCTTGCTAGCCAGGCAGACATCATCCCTCCATCATTCATGCTCTACCCATCAACCATCTGCCATCCTTCATTCATCAGCTGTCCAATCTCTTTTCCTCCCTTCTTTCTCCTCCCAGCAGCCAAATTTCTCTAGATATCCGCATAAACCAGGCTCTGCCCTAGTGTGCCACAGCACAGCTAAGAGAAACAATCCCATGGCCATCACTGCCCCTTCTATCCCTATGGCCAAGTCTTCATCTCTTGCCTGTGCCACTCTATAGCTTCCCAACTCTCCCCTCCTGTCTGAGTTCCCTTGAGTCTATGCTTCACACGGTCACAGAGTAAGTTTTTAAAAGCTCAGACCTAAAGCCCTCTCTGCTTGCTTGCACTCCTACAGTGGGTCTCAACAGCTCTCTGGCTGAAATTCACTCCTCTGCTCAGTGCCAAGGTCCCTTTCCCTCTGGCTCCTCCCAAACCTCTCTGCTATCACCATCTACTGTGCTCACCATGCCATCCACTCTTCAGACACTGAATGAGGGCAAACATTTACTCCCTGCCTGCCCCAACTCTTCTCCTGCCTCACTCCTGGGGTCATTCATTCAGCTGTCTACTGAGGTCTTTTGTTGTGATGGGCACTGAGGGATATGGCAGGGGCAAGAGTCCCCAGCACTGAAGAGACTGCAGTCTGGTGGAAAACATGGATTTTTTTTTTTTACGGAATCTTGCTCTGTTGCCCAGGCTGGAGTGCAATGGCGTGATCTTGGCTCACTGCAACCTCTGTCTCCCAGGTTCAAGTGATTCTCCTGCCTCAGCCTCCTGAGTAGCTGGGATTACAGACACTTGCCACCACGCCTGGCTAATTTTTGTATTTTTAGTAGAGTCAAGGTTTCACCATGTTGGCAAAGCTGGTCTCGAACTCCTGACCTCAGGTGATCTGCCCGCCTTGGCTTCCCAAAGTGCAGGGATTACAGGCACCCAAAAACATTACTCCCACCCAAAAACACGGATATCAATCAAATAATGGGTTAATTACAATGAAGAAAGTTCATGGATATGCCAGTTTGTAACCAGGTGACCTCATCTAGTCTGAAGGGGTCCAGAAGGCTTACCTGAGGAAGTATTGTCAAAGCTGAGACTTAGAGAAGAATGGATTCCAGGGACCTGGCAGGTAAAGAGGAAAGGGGGCCTGGCTAGGGACTGTGGCTGTGGGGAACATGTGGAGTGCCAACCAGCAGTTTGGCTGAAGTGTGTCTCCAGCTCACGGCTGTCTTGCACGAATGCAAGAATGAGGGTCTGTGTGGCTAATTTCTGGCTTCTCAAAAGGAACCAGAAGTCTGGGTTTTTATGAGATCTCTCAACGTTTAAATGTTAAGGAAATAAATAATTTTAAAAACATGCCTATAGAAGGAACATTAAGATCTGTGCATTTTCTTTGTTAACTATCCTTCAATTCAAAAAAAACAAATCTGCAGGCTGGACTCACCCATGGGCTTCTAGTTCGCGACCTCTAATTTAGCTGGGTGTTGGGAGCAGGGAGAGAGGCAAGGGGATTCCAGCCAGAGACCAGTGCCGTGGAAACAGAAGAGGACAGGGAAAATCACATCAGAGGAAATGGGGGAGAGAGGCAGAGTCCAGAATGCGGAGCCTTGATGCCAAGTTGAGCCTCATTTCTTTTCTTTATTTTTTTTGAGACATGGTCTCTCTCTGTTGCCCAGGCTAGAGTGCAATGGCACTATCTCGGCTCACTGCAGCCTTCGCCCTCCGGGTTCAAGTGATTCTCCAGCCTCAGCCTCTCAAGTAGCTGGGATTACAGGCGTGTGCCACCACGCCTGGCTAATTTTTGTATTTTTAGTAGAGACGGAGTTTCGCATGTTGGCCAGGCTGGTCTGGAACTCCTGACCTCAGGTGATCCATCCGCCTCTGCCTCCCAAAATGCTGGGATTATAGGTGTGAACCATCGCACCGGGCCTTGGGCCTCACTGCTTAAGGCAGGAAGAAACCATTAGAAAGCCTGGAGCGGCCGGGCGCGGTGGCTCAAGCCTGTAATCCCAGCACTTTGGGAGGCCGAGACGGGCGGATCACGAGGTCAGGAGATCGAGACCATCCTGGCTAACACGGTGAAACCCCGTCTCTACTAAAAAAAATACAAAAAACTAGCCGGGCAAGGTGGCGGGCGCCTGTAGTCCCAGCTACTCGGGAGGCTGAGGCAGGAGAATGGCCTAAACCCGGGAGGCGGAGCTTGCAGTGAGCTGAGATCCGGCCACTGCACTCCAGCCTGGGCGACAGAGCCAGACTGTGTCTCAAAAAAAAAAAAAAAGAAAAAGAAAGCCTGGAGCTAGGGCGCAACATTATCAGATTTGGTTTTTGGAAAGGGTAGGAATGCAGATGGGTTGGCCGAGGTGAGAGCGTGTGTGGGGGACCCGTTTAGAAACTCAGCGGTCATCCGGGGAAGAGAGGCAGCTGGCAGTGGCAGAAACCGGGAACCAATTCAATGTCTATTTAGGAGGCAAAATCAACAGGGCTGGATGACTGACTGGATTTAAGTGAGGAAGGAAGGGGGAGGAGCTAAGAGCATGTGGGGAGAGCTGGGGTGGGGAAGGAGGGGAGCCACAGGCCTCGAGTGTGCCTGTGGACACACGGTGATGCTGGTGTAGGTGGCCTCCACCTGCCCTCACAATCTGCTGAACTCACCATGTGGCGTGATCACCATCTCCAGTGCACCAGCCTTCCCTTCAGCCAGGGGCCCAGCACCCTAGGGCTCAGCTTGCATCCCTAAGGCCCAGGCCAGTTCCAGGCCCAAGGTGGGTACCTGGTACCCACTATGATCCTACCTCACTCCTCAGGGGACCTGAGAGAGCCTGCAGAAAGGAGAAGGCTCTAATGGAAGGAAGGAGAGCGTACAGGCTGGTCAGGCACAAACCAGGTGGCTCTGTGAGCTTCTGCATTGCCCAGAGCAGACAAACCCTGAATGTGGAGACAGAGTCCTCAAACCGTCCCTCTCATGACAGTCAGGCTTCCTGGGCAGCCCATCTGGCCTCACTGGGTGCCTGCTATGTGATCTCAGGAAGTCATGGAACCTCTGTGCCCAGCTTCTTCATTAGGAAATGGGGAGAATACCTCCTTACAGGATGACTATGAGGATCAAATGAGATCATTCATGTAAAGTGGCTGACGCAGGGCCTGGCACATGTAAGGGTTTAATAAATGCTACTGCCTTCTGTTTATCATGATTTGCTTTGCTTCTACTTGTCCAAGCCATGGGGTTGTTTATCTGGTTAATCTGGTTTCCCAGGTATCCTGATGGCAGAAACTCAGGTGATCCCTAGTGAGGGGCGTGTCCATTCCAGATCACAGGAGGAATGTCCCATGATGCATTCCCATGTCCCATGACTTAACAGGACTAAGGCCTGTTGGTCACCTCAGGGAAAGTCCAGTTTTCCATTCACAGAACTGATGACCAGCCCCTGGGCTCTAGTGAACAAGAAGCCCCCAGATGGCACTGCTGTGTCTAAGGAAGACAACCTCCTCTAGGGTCCCCCTCCACACACCTACCCTGTCACTCACCAGCCCAGGGCTTTGTGGTTTCCTAAAAGAGCATGTTCACGTTTGTGGCTTAATGAATTCTAGTGCTCACATATATCTTAAAGTGCTCCTGGTAGGAGCCTTCCCATCAGACAGAGGATGAGGCTAAGACCCACAGAGCTGGCAGGAGTTGCTCGGTCCTGTGCAGCTCTGAAGGTGCTGAGCAGGGACAGAGCTCACCACAGGCTCGATGTCCCAGGCTTTCAGGCTTATCCCTGCCAACCACCCTTAGGCCGCCCTCACCTTCCCCACAGGAGTCACCTTCGTGAAGGACACTCAAATAGGAACTCTCCGGAAAGGAGCACAGAGATGCCTGCTCCATTGCAATCCCCTGGCTTTGCAGCCACATCCTCTGCTCCTGGGGGCTGTGGCCAGGGACGGGGCAATCACACCACTGGGCTCAGGCAAGTCTGGGTTTGTCACTATTCCAAGGAGCCTCCGGGGTATCTCCATCCCGTCTCTTGTCACATTCAACCTCACTCTAAAAGGGTCTGATTTACAGAATCAATGTGCCCATAAACAGTCCTGGGCACAGTCTGTCCATAAATAAAACCATATTTTAAAGGCACCAGGATACTTACCATGTAAAAGAATTCTGTGGTGACTCTTTGAAAAGTGAAAAATTCTTTGATAAATGGACTAATTACTCCCTACTTCGTCCTTTGTTCAGCTTTGAACACAATTAGTGTCAGGATGGTTTGAGGCTCCTCCTTCTACAACTGCTCCTGTGGTGCCTCCGCAGACAGGATTCACATCCTTGCAGGGCTTGACATGCTCCTAGGTATTTTAGGCATGCCCACTCACCCTATCAGGGGGAGAGGTCAGGTGGAGGCTGGAGGCCAGGATGGGAAGCAACAGGTCCCCAGGACTGGGCCCACCCTGCTCTGCTCCCTTGACTGTGCTCCCCGAGGCTCCGAACCTGGCTTTGGGCCTCTGCTGTGCCGGCCATCCTTTGCCTCCCCACTTCCACACACCAGCCCCATGCTTTCCCAAGGATACAGCGTAGCCAGCAGGCACCCAGTGGTGAGGCAGGAGGGGAACAAGGACCCCAAAGCCAATCACAGCAAAGAAGAGGTACAGCAGCCAGGCCACAATCTGGAGCGGGTGAGGGGGCCAGCTCCACCCATTCCGGCGGGATCGCTGGCCCTGCAGCTCGGGGGAGGGTCCGCTGGGCTGTGCAGGCGGCGCTGTCCACACACTCTTCTCAGGGGCAGTCTTGTTGGAGGGCTTGTTGCAGATGTTCATCTCCAGAGGGAGAAACAGTAGAGAGAGCATTAGCCCAAGAGGCCGGGCTGGAGCCCAGGGCCGGTGTCTGCAGCCAGGTTTCAGCAAGGGGGAGTAGGCTGCGACATAAAACCATCTCCCAGCTACTCTGCCGGGGATACTGGCATCCTAGCACGATAGAGACGGGCAGTGGGGAAAGGGTGGGAGTGGGCTGCTGTCTCAAAGCCCAAAGCAAACCCTGGCCCCAGCCTGGCCAGGACAAGGTAAGAGGACCCAGGGTTTATTCAGGACACAGTGCTGCTGCCTGTTACTCAAAGTGCTGTCTCCACAGCCATCGCAGTTAAACCCAATAAGACATGTTCTCATCTGGTAACAATATCAGGCCGGGGCCAGAGTGATGAGAACACATGCTGATTCTGTTAGGATTAGTCACCTCCTTCCTGAGGTCCAAATCCAAGTGTCAGACACCCCCGCTATCCTTTGCTCAGGGAAACGGGGAATGGGGCGCCCAGAAGGAGGATCTGCCCTCTGCCCCACAGTGGACACAAAATCCCTTTAGGACTGGGGGAGCCTGAAGCTCTGCCCCATGCTGCCTGAGGGTTCTCGGCTGGGGAGGGGTCAGCTCACGAGAGGGAGGGAAGGATTCCTCTTTAGTTCCCTTCAGCAGCAGAAATGACCATGTTTCTCTAAGTAAATCTGGGCCTGCTGTACAGTTTTGTACAGAAAGCTGGGCTAATGCTCTTGGACTCAGAGGCAGACCACCAGATGGCATCAACCACCCCCTCCACCCGCCACCCTCTAGCCAGACAGCTGGCCCAGTGGCCAGAGATGAAGGCCAGGCAGGAAGGGGTGGGCTACAGAAGGAAGACCCCCATCCCCAAGATCTGGGCCCAAGATGGGACGACAGCCCAGGCAGGCAGCGCCATACCTGGGAGACAGGCCAGCTCTGCACTCGTGGTGGGAAAGCCAGGAGCTGGGGCTAAAACCCTGGTAGCTAAACTCTCCTTTCAGGAGCCTCTGCCCATGAGACAGGGAACCTAAGCAGAAAGGGTGCCGCAGACCCTGACTCAGTGCATCTGCCTGGATCACCTTTCTCACTTCTCAGTCCACAGAATAAGGCTTGATCTTCAGAGCTAACTGCAAGCATTGCCTCATCCAGGAAGCTTTCCCTGACGCCCTGAGTCAGGGGGTCCTTATGCTAAGCCATTGTTGGGCAAATTACTTTGCCATTTGGGATGCTTTGCAATCCCCATGTCTGCCCCCATTAGGACAACTTTCCCCAAAGGCAGCAAATGTGCTGGGTGGGATTTATTCACCTCTGTCCCCTATGTCCCTTCCCCCAGGCACCCAGAATTGTACCTTGTACACAGTAGATCCTCAGTAAATGTTTGCTGACTTGAAAACATCTGAAATAAAAGGAAACGTGGGCACAGTAAATGGTGTGGAATCCTGGTCCACCCTAAGCCATCTGGCCTGCTTTCCCCTGCCTTCCATCCATCCAGCCCTGCCCCCTTTCTGCAGGCTCGTGAACCCATGCCTCCCGCAGCCCATCTCCTGCTGCTGGCTGGCTACCACCCTGACCGCCAGACACTCACTCCTAGCCACCCTGCCCTTCAGCCAACCTAAGGCTCAGAGCCTCCTGCAGGCCAAGCCTAGAATTATTTGAAGTGACCTCTGAGTAGTCCCCCAGAGGTCTCAAAACTAAATGGAGGACTTAAGTTTTTCCCCAGGGATTCAGCTGGTGGTTTTTTGGTTTTGGGTTTAGGGTTTTTTTTCTTCTGAGACAGGATCTTGCTCTGTTGCCCAGGCTGGAGTGCAGTGGCACCATCACAGCTCACTGTAACCTTCACCTCCTAGGCTCAAGTGATCCTCTCACCTCAGCCTCCAGAGTAGCTGGAACTACAGACATGTACCTGGCTAATTTTTTTATTTTATTTTATTTTATTTTATTTTATTTGTAAAGACCGGGTCCCACTATGTTGCCCAGGGTGTTCTCCAACTCTTGGACTCTGGACTCAAGAGATCTGTCAGCCTTGGCCTCCCAAAGTGCTGGGATTATAGGCGTGAGCCACCGTGCCTGGCCTTGCTTTGTTTTGTTCTGTTTTTTGTTTTTGAAACAGGGTCTTGTGCTGTCACCCAGGCTGGAGTGTCGTGGCACAATGATAGCTCACTGAAGCTTCAATTTCCTGGACTCAAGTGATCCTCCTGCCTCAGCCTCCTGAGTAGCTAGAACTACAGCGGCGTGTCGCCATGCCTAGCTATTTATTTTTTATTTTTGCAGAGACAGTCTCACTATGTTGCCCAGGCTGGTCTCCAACTGCTGGGCTCAAGCGATCTTCCCACTTTATCCTCCCAAAGCACTGAGATTACATGCATGACCCAGTATCCCAGCCCTCACTTTCTTTTGCAAGTCCCCCAAAGATAGCAAATCTTTGTCCTTGTATTGTGGAAATGTCAAAGGTCATCAGGTCAAGCCCTGTGAATACGGTTGGGCTAGATGGTTCTGCTCTGGGGCCAATCCCTGTGGCTTGCACATCAGCGCTCCAGTGACACCATCACCAGGGCAACTACTTTGAAAGGAATCCATGAATTTGGAATTCCTAAAGTCTGGCTCTCCTCTTGCCATCCCCAAACCTAAACCACCCTACACCTTGCAGGAGTTTCCAAAGAGCAAAACAGAGGCATGCGGCTGATCGGGCTCCACTGCCTGGCAGTGGCCACAGGTACCCCCAGCGCTGCTGTATCCCGGATTCCTGAGGCAGGAGGAGTCACCATCTGCAGCCAGGCACCCGCCACATACAGCCTTGGGGATGCCTCTGACTCCAAATCAGGATACCCCCTTGGTCCAGGAAGCGAGCACTTGTTTGAGGCTGTGGAAATGGGGATGGTGCTGCTGAGCGACCTCCCTCGGCAGAGGCAGCATTCCGGAATAGACGCCCAGGCTGGCCCACAGGCATGCCCAGGCCAGCCCCCTCTTCACTGACAAAATTTTCTTTTTTTTTTTTTTTCTTTTTGAGACGGGGTCTTGCTCTGTTGCCAACGCTGGAGTGCAGTGGCACGATCTCGGCTCACTGCAAGCTCCACCTCCCGGGTTCATGCCATTCTCCTACCTCAGCCTCCCGAGTAGCTGGGACTACAGGTGTCTGCCACCATGCGTGGCTACTTTTTGTATTTTTAGTAGAGACGGGGTTTCATCGTGTTAGCCAGGATGGTCTCGATCTCCTGACCTCGTGATCCACCCGCCTCGGCTTCCCAAAGTGCTGGGATTACAGGCGTGAGCCACCGCGCCCGGCCCACTGACATTTTCTCCTGCAGAGCTGGTGGCCACAAATTTCTTCGGCCCAAAAGATTTTGATTAAAAGGGCTGGGAGGTCGGAGAGAATCCAATTATGGGGCTTCCAGGCCATGGATGGGACCAAACACTGTCACCAGACCCCGGGACTTCTCTGGCTGTTGCTCCCCTCTCAGCACTTCTCTAGGAGACCAGATTGAAAGACATGTGGCTCTGTTCCCCGACAACGTGGCCAGCTGGCACCCTCTGACCTTGGCCAGTCAGCACTTATCAGGACCCAGCCTGCGTACTTAGGATGTAAACACAGATGAGACCGGGTGCATGCCCTCAGGGGCTTCTTTTCTGGGACCCAGACAGACACGAACAGAAACCAGGGCAGTGGTGAATGGGCATTTTGGCAGCCCATGCAAGGGCCAGCCATCCAATGTGACAGAACACAGGGTGCACAGGTTGCGGGGGCGGGGGTTAGGGGAAGGAGGGAGGGGAGGGCAGGACCCAGTGAGAGATGGGACCGAAGAAGTTGCAGGGCTCAGATCTCAGGGGGCCTAGAAGGCCAGGTGAGGACACATGGGCACTGCTGGAAGAGCCACAGGGAGGCAAAGCAGGCTTAAGGCATGAGAGTGACCCAACGGATCAGGGTGCTTTGGAAAACTTTCTAGCCAGTGGGGAGAAGGGCACGGGGGAAGTGGTACCACAGCAGCCCAGCAGGGAGCCCAGCAGCTCTGTGCTTTGGGAGAAGCTGGTCAGAAGGTGGTGGTGAAGCCCACAAGCTCCCTGCTGCCCACCTGGCTACCCCCAGATGCATCTTTGCAGGGTTCAGAGGTACACACCTTGGGAAAACATTCTTCATGTACCTTCTACTGCCACAGAACAAACCATAGAGAGTCAGGCTGGCGGTGATAAAGGGAAGACAGGAAGGAGGGGGTCCTGTGGCCTGGGTAAGCCAAGGACCCACCTGGCTACTGAGGCAGGCAGGAGGGGCTGTGGAGGCCCCTCCCTTGTCCCCCGCAAGATGGAAGCCGTTGGCAGGATGACAGTAATCTGTTCACGTTAACATTCACTTGCGAAAAGCCTTAGATGGTGTTTTCAGTATAAGGTTAGGCTACCTTAATTTATTATTATTATTATTATTATTATTATTATTTTTTTTTTAAGACTGAATCTCGCTCTGTCACTCAGGCTGGAGTACAGTGGCTCGATCTCAGCTCACTGCAACCTCCACCTCCCAGGTTCAAGCAATTCTCCTGCCTCAGCCTCCTAAGAAGCTGGGATTACAGGCGTGCACCACCACATCCAGCTAATTTTTGTATTTTTAGTAGAGACAGAGTTTCACCATGTTGGCCAGGCTGGTCTCAAGAACTCCTGACTTCAGATGACCCACCTGGCTCGGCCTCCCAAAGAGCTGGGATTACAGGCGTGAGCCACCATGCCCTGCCTGGGTACCTTAATTTATACTTCATTTGGGTACCTTAATTTATACAATTCATTTGACTTAATTTAAGTCAAAGGAAGGAAATCTTAACATTTTAAGTACTCATTATGAACTACATTATAGTTACATGAGTGACAACTTTCCTCCTGCCCACCTCTGCTACCAACAAAAAAAACATTTAGGAATGTTGTTCTGAAATTCTTGCCTAGCACTCTCAAAGAAACCACACCAAGGTGAAAAGTACCAGCCCTGGAGAGACTGTGGGCATCCCTAGATTGCTGCAAGCTACCTGAGGGCTTCAGAATCAAATCAATTACTAAAGAGGGTTTCCCAGGAAAGGACAAGGAACTGGGAGGGCAGGGTGATGGGGTCAGAGGAGAAAGGGACAGGGTTGAAGCAGACACTTTGAGGGCCCTGCACCACCAATGGGGAGACACAGGTGGGACCAAAGGAAGACGGCTGAGCCTGGAGTAGAGCCCTTTTCTGGTTCCCGAGCTGCCACTCACAGACTGAGGAACATTGAGGCAAATTTCACAGATTCACTTCTTTGGATCTCTTCTACACTCATCTTTAAACAAAGTTCAGTGAAGCAATTTGGCAATGTCCAAGTCTGGCGAAACTTTAGAACACAGATGCCCTTTGACCCAGACATTCCATTCCTAGGTATTTATCTTATACTCACAAAGATTTATTGCAGCATTATTTGAAATAATAAAGGACAAAAGACAATATAAATAAACTATGGCACATCCACACAATAAAATGCTAGGCAGCATCAAAAATAACGGATAAAAAAAGGAAAAAAATGGATGAAGTAATCTTTGATACACAATTAAGTGAAAAAGCAAGACGAAGAACACTTGTAGATGGAGCTACTAAGTGAATAAAAACAAAGAGGGCCGGGCGCAGTGGCTCATGCCTGTAATCTCAACACTTTGGGAGGTCGAGGAGGGCGGATCACTTGAGGTCAGGAGTTTGTGATCAGCCTGGTCAACCTGGTGAAACCCCATCTCTACTAAAAGTACAAAAATTAGCTGGGCGTGGTGGCACGGGCCTGTAGTCCCAGCTACTCAGGAGGCTGAAGCAGGAGAATCACTGGAACCTGGGAGGCGGAGGTTGCAGTGAGCTGAGATCGCGCCACTGCACTCCAGCCTGGGCAACAGGCGAGACTCTGTCTCAAAAAAAAAAAGTGGGGGAGGGGGACAGATGCATAAACATCTACATTCCTATATGCATAGATTCTCTCCAGAATGAAATGCAAGAAACCAAACACAGGAGCAGCCCCTAGGAAGGAGATCTAGTGGTCCAAGAGCTGTAAGACAGAAATTGCATTTCCTGGTACTCCTTTGTACATTCAAATATATATATATATATATATATATATATATATATATATATATATATAATAAGCATGTACTGCTTTTGAAAACAAAAAGTATGTCAAATAAATGATTGGGGGATGTCACCTCCTGCCTTCCAGGCCCCACTGAGCTGCCTTGTGGACGAAACACACTCGTGTGATCTAGAGCCCTGTTATCATGCCAGACAAAGAATTCCTACCTAACAAGGGTGCTTGGTTTTAGTGAAATGTTTTCTCACTCTTGAAAGCAATTCTAAGACGCTCAACTACAGAGCTATGAGGAAAAGCCATAGAACTTCCTATGAGCTGTTAGAGTTCTTGTCAAAGCTGGAATCATACAACCAGACAGCACAACAAAGGAGCTGCTAGGCAGGACCTGCTTCATCCTTGGCCAGAGCCAACTCAGCTACCAGAGACTCCCAGAACCCAAAGGGAAAGTGCACTCTACAGGAAACTTTTGTTCCCATGCATCTTGTCCTTTTGCTAGAGGATTTGTGGTTTCCATGTGAGAGATTTTCTTTTTTCTTTCTTTTCTTTTTTTTTTTTGAGACGGAGTCTGGGGCTCTGTCGCCCAGGCTGGAGTGCAGTGGCGCGATCTCGGTTCACTGCAAGCTCCACCTCCCGGGTTAAAGCCATTCTCCTGCCTCAGCCTCCTGAGGAGCTGGGACTACAGGCGCCCACCACCACGCCCAGCTAATTTTTTTGTATTTTTAGTAGAGACGGGGTTTCATCATGTTCACCAGGATGGTCTCGATCTCCTGACCTCATGATCTGCCTGCCTCAGCCTCCCAAAGTGCTGGGATTACAGGCGTGAGCCACTGCGCCCAGCCCATGAGCCACCACGCCTGGCCAGTGTGAGAGATTTTCTTCTCTTTTCTTCACTTTTTTTTTTTAAAGACGGAGTTTCACTCGTTGCCCAGGCTGGAGTGCAGTGGTGCGATCTTGGTTCACTGCAGGCTCCGCCTCCTGGATTCAAGTGATTCTCCTGCCTCAGCCTCCCGAGTAGCTGGAATTACAGGCGCCAGCCGCCACGCCCGGCTACTTTTTAATTTTTTTTTTTTAGTAGAGATGGGATTCTACCATGTTGGCTGGGCTGGTCTCAAACTCCTGACCTCAGGTGATCCACCCGCCTTGGCCTCTTAGCCATGGCGCCCAGGCTACCCTTTTTTTTTTTTTTTTAAGAGACAGGATCCTTCTTTGTCGCCCAAGCTGGAGTGCAGTGGTATGATCATCGTTCACTGTAACCTCAAACTCATGGGTTTATGCAAGCCTCCCACCTTGGCCTCCCAAAGGGCTGGGATTACAAGTATAAACCACCATCCAGTCGAGAGATTTTCTATCTATGAGTATTCCTAAATGAACTTTCTGTTTCCCCCAGGATCTGCTTTTGAAATAATTTTCACTGAGATTTAACAGATGCCCAGTTGAACTACCTAAAGAGAAGCTAGACAGAAAACATTTCACAGTACACAGTGTTTTACAGCACAAAAGTCATTTACAAAAGATTGTTTAGGGACGAGTACTTTGTTTATTAAAATTCCCCACAGGTGCCAGAGAAGTCTCTGACCTTAAAATTCTGAGAAGCAGCTCTAGTTCAACTAACGGATGCACATCACACAACTACCGAAAATTAAACCGGAACTTCAAGCTGTTCTCAAAGACCTCTCCAGTCACTGGTCTCAGAGGTAGCTGGGCCCTCGCTTTCTCTCTCATAACAGGCGGAAGTCTGATGCTGGTCGGACGCAGTGGCTCATGCCTGTAATCCCAGCACTTTGGGAAGCTGAGGCGGGCGGATCACCTTAGGTCAGGAGTTCGAGAACAGCCTGGCCAACATGGTGGAACCCCGTCTCTACTAAAAATACAAAAGGTCGTGGGCACCTGTAATCCCAGCTACCAGGAGGCTGAGGCAAGAGAATCTCTTGAACCCAGGAGGTCGAGCTTGCAGTGAGCCGGGATCACGCCATTGCACTCGAACCTGGGCACCAGAGCGAGATTCTGTCAAAAAAAAAAGGTCTGATGCCATGGCAAGAAAAGCTTGAAACCCCAATTATTCCTGAGTCGACATGGTTTGCAAACATTTTCTGTGCCATTCTCCTCCTGAAGCAACCATTGCAAATTGGGATACAAATGAAGCCAAGGAAAGGGGACAAGAAGGAGGGAGTAACACAGAATAGAAACAAGGCCAATGAAGAGAGGCCAAGGTTGTTGATTTCAACCAGGAAATCAACTCATATGACTGCAGGAGCCAGACTTGGGGAACACCCAGCGCAACAGTCATTAAGAACAAAGTTGTGACAGAACAAAGAAAGAAAAACAAAAACAAGACAATCTGGCTAATTAAGCACCACTGTTGCTTTTACTGCATCTCATGGTGATTATCTGTTTATAAACCCGTCTCCCACAGTGAACCAACAGTTCCACAAAAGCAGAGACCACCCCTCAGCCCAGGTCTGAACCCAGCTCTCCTTCAGTAAAGGAAGTCAAGCCACTTTTTTACTATCTCTGCTGCCATTACCCCAATCCAAACCACCAGCATTGCTCTCCTACAGTGTTTGCATGATAATAACCAACACCAGCATTTAGAGGGCACTTATTCTGTGCCAGGCACTGCTTCAGTGGAATTCACTCATTCAATTCTCACAGAGCTCTAAGGAAGGTCCTATCATTTCCAACTATTCTTGCAGATCCCTGTAGTCATTGATTTCAGATGTGACTGGCCTCTCACTTTCTCATAAAAAACACGCAGAACATCCACCCCCATCATGAAAACACTGAGGCTCAGAGGCACTAAATGAGTTATTTTAGGAGGCACAGCTAGATTGGCAGAACTAGGATGGCCCTCAGCTGACTTCCCAGTATGTCCTGTCACAACCATGCTGCTCAGCAGCCAGAGTGAAGTGAGCTTTTCAAATGTGAAACTCATCCAAACTCTTCTTTGGGAGGCCGAGGAGGGTGGATCACCTGAGGTCAGGAGTTCAAGTCCAGTTCAAGTCCATGTTAGTCCCACCAGGGCTAACATGTTGAAACCCCGTTTCTACCAAAAATACAAAAATTAGCTGGGTGTGGTGGCAGGCACCTGTAACACCAGACTCGGGAGGCTGAGGCAGGAGAATCGTTTGAACCCGGGAGGCGAAGGTTGCAATGACCCGTGATCGTGCCACTGCACTCCAGCCTGGACGACGAAAGCAAAACTCCGTCTCAAAGAAAAAAAAGGAAAAAACTAAAAACTCTTCCCATGGTTTCCTTTTAAAACAGACCCTCCATGACCAACCCCTCGATTTCAATACCAGAGAGCCTAACTCGACCTGAAATCACTTTAGTCATATATGACACCTGCTTCCCAGCCACCTTCCTTAATGCTCTGGGTTCTGGAGACGGGCCACGTCTGTTCGGAGTCCTCTGTGCCCACGCCTGGCACAGAGCCTGGCAAAGAGTGAGCGCTCAAGGAAGATCTGTGAACTTGATGCATGCTAAAAGGAAGCCCCGCGCTCTGCCCGGGCCCTGGAACTCAGGCCACCAGCTCCAGGCGGAAGTGAGCCCAAAGCTGGCCAGGCGGCAGCATCCACGACCCCGTGGCTCAAGCCAGTCTCCGAGGTGAGAAACCGGGCGGGGACTCCTCACCTGCGCGCCGCGGCGGCCGTGCCAGATGGGCCCTGCCAAGGTCAGCCAGAGGTTCGGGCCCCACGCCTGGCCTTCCACCCTCCCCGGGGCAGCCGCGCTTCAGACCCTCGCGGTAGGGATGGTCCCCGGGACTGGGCGACAACGCGCCCGGGAGCGGGGCCCCATCCCGGACGGAGACTGGGCCGGCGAGTTCTCGGGCTCTGGCTCTGGCTCCGGCTCCGGTTCCAACAGGCTTGCGGGGCGGCCAGGCCAGGCCCAGACTGGCGGGCCTCGTCCGGCGCTGGGCCCGTTCCCCTGACAACGGCGCGGGCTACGGCGCCCCACAGCGGCCAAACCGCGCTGCGTCACTCCGCGCCGGTCCCCCGGCCGGGGCGGGGCTTGCCAGGGACCCCCTTGGTGCCCCAGTCGGACCATTCCGAGATTCTGCCTAACCTTTCGTCTAGAAAATCCACTTTTCCCTACTCCCGAGTCACAGCTTGTCTTCCTGAAATCCTAACATCTCAAACGCGCCCCCTTCCAGTTTCTATCCTGAGACCATCGCTCTCTTAAGAAGAGACCTCCCCCAACCCCAATCAACCTTTACACTTCGATGAGCGTATGTTCTGGAACATCCATGATATCGTCATCCTTCCGGGAGTTTACAGGTTAAGGGGCAAAAAGATCTAGACAAATAAATTACACCACTAAAAATGCAGGTACCCCAGAATATAAAGCAAGAAGTGTAAGAGCTTAAAATAAGTAGCACAAAATATCTCATTTATTTATTGCCTTTAAATCAAGCAAAAATCAAACCCCAATCTTCCAGGCTGATGGGAAATTCAATCTTTTTCTATTTTTCAAACTGGTCTCTGTTACCAAGGCTGGAGTGCAGTGGCACAATCACGGCTCTCTGCAGCCTCAAACTCCTGGGCTCAGGCGATCCTCCTGTCTCAGCCTCCAGAGTAGCTGGGACTACAGGCGAGCACCACCACGCCCGACTAATTTTCGCATTTTTTTGTAGAAACGGGGTTTTGCTGTGTTGCCCAGGCTGGTCTCGAACTCCTGAACTCAAGGGACCCACCATCTCAGCCTCCAAAAGTGCTAGGATTACAGGCGTGAGCCCCTGCCTGGCCGGGAAATTCAGTCTCAGTCTCCACTGGACTCCTCTTAGCTAGGTAATCCCAAAGGACTCATGTTTTCCTACAGCAAAAAACAACCAAAAACAAACAAGCAAAAAACCCTCTGGTCAGGGTTTTGTCTGGTACTGAGGACACAGCTATTGCCCCCGTCCACAAAGATGTTCAGGTTTGGGCTCTATGAGGCCCTCCCTGATGAGGCCCCTGCCTCTCCCTGGGGCTGCCAGGGACAAACACCTGCTTCCTCTGCTCCAGGACCTGCAGCCTCACTTCCCTTTCTTTACCTGGGAGGCTTCCCTGCTAACTTGGTTTCCCTAAAAGTCCCCTCTCCCCTTCTCCTTGGGGACACTCAGAATGGAATCTTCTATGAGCTCAGGCTTTCTCAAAAGACAGGAAGACACTTTGTCTTCTGCTATCTGTCCTGTGCACATCTCCAAGGCAGATATGACAGATAGGGAGAGAAAACATCCTTATCTCTAAAATGTATAAGTCACAAGCATACTTATTGTATGTTTTATTAGGCAACATAACTACTGCTCTGTCACATGACAGGTGCGTGGGTCCTTGTGCAAGTGACATAACCTATTACTTAAATTCTTGTTTTTAAGATTGATAAACTCAATGTGGGATAAATATCAATGCTATTCTGGCTTCAGAATACAAGCTAACTCCTTAATTCTTATCTGGAATTGGAAAACTTCGGGTCAAACAGAGATCATGACCCAGAAATCAAGATGGAGGATGAGGCTGGACGCAGTGGCTCACACCTGTAATCCCAGCACTTTAAGGAGGCTGAGGCAGGAAAATTACTTGAGGCCAGGAGTTTGAGACCAGCCTGGGAAACATAGAGAGACTCCCATCTCTACAAAAGATGAAAAAAATAGCCAGGCCTGGTTGCCTGTGCCTATAATCCCAGCTACTCACGAGGCTGGGGCAGGAGAATAGAATCACTTGAGTCTGGGAGTTCGAGATTGCAGTGAATTACGATCATGCCACTGCACTCCAGCCTGGGTGACAGAGTAAGATCTTATCTCTCAACTGGTCTCAGTGGCTCACGCCTGTAATCCCAACATTTTGGGAGGCCAAGGCAGGCGGATCACGAGGTCAAGAGATCAAGACCATCCTGGCTAACGTGGTGAAACCCCATCTCTACTAAAAGTACAAAAATAAGCCAGGTGTGATGGCACGCACCTATAGTCCCAGCTACTCGGGAGGCTGAGGCAGGAGAATGACTTGAACCCGGGAGGCAGAGGTTGCAGTGACCCGAGATCGCACCACTGCACTCCAGCCTGGGTGACACAGTGAGACTCTGTCAAAAAAAAAAAAAAAAAAAAAAAAAGGCCGGGCGCAGTGGCTCAAGCCTATAATCCCAGCACTTTGGGAGGCCGAGACGGGTGGATCACGAGGTCAGGAGATCGAGACCATCCTGGCTAACACGGTGAAACCCCGTCTCTACTAAAAAACACAAAAAAAACTAGCCGGGCGAGGTGGTGGGCGCCTGTAGTCCCAGCTACTCGGGAGGCTGAGGCAGGAGAATGGCCTGAACCCGGGAGGCGGAGCTTGCAGTGAGATGAGATCTGGCCACTGCACCCCAGCCTGGGCGACAGAGCAAGACTCCGTCTCAAAAAAAATCTTATCTCTCTCTCTCTCTTTTTTTTTTTTTGGAGACAAAGTCTCGCTTTGTCTCCCAGGCTGGAGTGCAGTGGCGTGATCTCAGCTCACTGCAACCTCCACCTCCTGGGTTCAGGTGATTCTGCTGCCTCATCCTCCCAAGTAGCTGGGATTACAGTCACCTGCCACCATGCCCAGCTAATTTTTGTATTTTTGGTAGAGACAGGGTTTCGTCATGTTGGCCGGGCTAGTCTCAAACTCCTGAACTCAGGTGATCCGCCCACCTCAGCCTCCCAAAGTGCTGGGATTGCAGGCGTGAGCCACTGTGCCCAGTCAGATCATCTCTCTTTAAAAAATAATAATAATACATAAATATTTTTTAAAACAAGGCGGGGCCAGGCACGGTGGCTCACACCTGTAATCTGAGCACTTTGGGAGGCTGAGGCAGGCAGATCACTTGAGGTCAGGAGTTTGAGACCAGCCTGGGCAACATGACGAAACCCTGTCTCTACCAAAAATCAAAAATTGGCTGGGCATGGTGATCCGTGCCTGTAATCCCAGCTACTCAGGAGGCTGAGATGGGAGGATCACTTGAACCCAGGAGGCAGAGGTGGCAGTGAGCTGAGATTGTGCCACTGCACTCCAGCCTGGGCAACAGAGCAAGATCTGTCTCTAAATAAATAAATAAATGCAAATACAAATAAAAATTTAAAAACAAAGTGAAAGATGAGTCCATATATTCTCATAATAAGGGGAGGGACCCAAAAGGCCCTGGATCCACTTGACTCAGGGGCTTCTCTCCTGGATGTCTCATCGGTGTCTGGGATGTAACACATCCCTTCATGCCCTCTTTGTCCTTGCCGCAAAACTGCTCCTCCTCTTGGGCCCTCTGAAGGTCACCAACATCTACCCAGTCAGCCCATCTGTACACTCAGGCTTATCTTCCCATGTCTCTCCTGCTAGTCCTTGCCCACTTAAACCAGATAGTGCCCATAACCAGGCTGCCCTCACTCTGAAACACATCCTGTGTCCATTCCTTCCTCTCCACCCCAGCCCAGACCACCAGCATCTTCCTTGCTGAGCCTGCAGCAGCCTCCAGTTCTCCCTAACATCAGCCTGCCTACTTCCAGCTCATCCTCCTCTCAGTTGCCAGACTATCCTTCCTTCTCTTTATTTGTTAGAGGAGGTGGTAGTCTGAATAATAGCGCCACAAAGATGTCATCGCCCTAATTCCTGGAACCTTTGAATGTGTTACGTGATATATCAAAGGGGATTTTGCAGATGAGATGAAGATCTCAAGATGGAAGAGATTATCCCAGGTTATCTGAGTGAGCTCAGTGTAGTCAAAAAGGTCCTTATAAGAGGGAGGCAGAAGGGTCAGATGGGAGAAGGACCACATAATGACAGAGGTCAGAGAGATTTGAAGGTGCTACACTGCGGGCTTTGAAGATGGAGGAAGGGGCCTGAGCCAAGGAATGCAGGCAGCCTCTAGATGCTGGAAAAGGCTAGGGGGCAGACCCTCCTCTAGAACCTCCAGAAGGAATCCACCTGCTGTTACATCGACTCTAGCCCAGGGGGACCCATTTTCAACTACTGATCTCAAGAACTGTCAAGATGACACATTGGCAGTCATTTGTTTCAGCAGCAATACGAAATGGATACAGTGGTTTGCAAACAGGGTTAAATGCACATATATATGCCCAATGAAAGCTGTTTTCAATTGAAGCAAAAATCCGAGTGACAGCTCAGATTCCTTTGACATCTTTTTTTTTTTGAGCGGGGTGGTGGGGTTGGGGGGACAGGGGGATGAGTTCTCTCTCCGTCACCCAGCCTAGAACGCAGTGCCGTGATCTTGGCTCACTGCAGCCTCCGCCTGCTGGGCTCAAACAATCCTCCCACCTCAGCCTCCTGAGTAGCTGGGGACTACAGACATACACCATCAACCCAGCTCGTTTTTGTTTGTTTGTTTGTTTGTTTGTACTTTTGGTACAGACAGGGTCTTGCTATGTTGCCCGGGCTGATCTCAAACTCCTGAGCTCAAGCTATCCACCCGCCTCAGCCTCCCAAAATCCTGGGATTACAGGTGTGAACCATGGCACCTGGCCTCCCTTGACGTCTTTGTGCGTGACTCCAGGCCAGGCTCTGTGAGAAGATGACTCTCTCACCCCAAATCTGCTTTTGAAAAGCACAGGCAGTTTGATCATGCTTTTTTGTTTGTTTGTTTGTTTGTTTGTTCATTTGTTTTTTTGAGACGGAGTCACCCAGGCTGGAGTGCAGTGGCACAATCTTGGCTCACTGCAACCTCCACCTCCCAGGTTCAAGCAATTCTCCTGCCTCGGCCTCCTGAGTAGCTGGGATTACAGGCGTGCACCACCACACCCAGCTAATTTTTATATTTTTAGTAGAGTTGGGGTTTCACCAGGTTGACCAGGCTGGTCTCGAACTCCTGACCTCACACTGATCCTCCTCTTTCTGAGTCTGTCATACTTGTGTGGTCCCCAATCCAGAAGCTGACATTGTGCAGGGCATCACCGACTGAGGAAAACCACACGTTGCCTGGCAGGTGCCAGAGAAATCTTTCTAATGCA